ACATAACTGAGCACACCATGTTCACCATCACTAAATTATTGATAAAAAAAATGTATCATCTTGAAATAATTGCATTATTTTTAGGTTTCTATTGTGTAAGTGACTATTGGATGTTGTGTATAATTAAACACAAACAGGTTAGACAGCCTATTCTCATCTGTAGTTCATGCAATAGAAGTGATTACACATATAATTTCCACATAAGGCTAACTGCGTTAATATGTTTCTAAAATAACCTAAATACCACAGATTTTTTTAAAAATTTATTTTGACCTGGGTTGTGTCCGATGCAACACAGTTCCACATGTTGGGGAACAAACAAGAAACTAGACTGTGAGACTTCATGAAGATGGGAGAGGGAACAACAGCATCAGCTGCTGCTAAACATCAGCTGTAACACCACTGCTGCAGCACTTAGAAGATGTTGGAAGAGCCAAATTACCACTAACACCAGGCACAATTCACTATTTACACAACCTTGATTACAAAGCACACCTCAACTGCCATCTATTGTAAACTATGGTGTGTGCCTCCTTAATGACACTTTGCATTTCTTTTGAGAAGACACCGCATGGAGACATCAGCTGTGACTGATCAAATTTGTTGTTAAGTGTGAAGAACAAAGACACTAGGATCTACTGCTTTTCCCTAACACACAAAAACAAAGATATATCCCCTGTACAATGGGCTCTGGATTTAAAATTGTATTTTTAATTAATGAATAAATTAATCAATTCCGTTTTAATTGATGTTGTCACAAATTCATTTTTTAAATGTGTGAGATTACATGGTGATACTATACATCGATTGCGGATGAGTAACTGATCGCATATTGGCTGGAGGGTCTCATATTCATCCCATATCTTTTTATGCTGTTTCCTTTGTATCTCTCAAATAATAAATCAAAGATCAGAAATAAAGTGAATAAACGTCTACAGTTTTTTTTCTCTCACTTTGCATCATTGTGTCACCGGTGATTTTTGCCACTGATATTTGTCTCTCCATATGTGTCTCTCTTGTCTCTCCCACCTCCTCCCTCTGCCTCCCTCCCTCCCCTGTGGCTGCTGGCGACACCAGTATTGATGTAAGCAGTGTTTTCTCTCATTAATTTATCAGCTCACAGAGGGTTGGGGGGGTGGGCCAGTATAATGGCTTCCATTTGGCCAAGGTCAACAGTCAACACATTCCTCAGTCGTTCAAATATAACCACACATTAACTTGTGTCCACTAATACAACGAGGACACACACACACACACACACACACACTCACACACATAGCTAATAGAGCATAAGTGAGCTGTAGTAACACTTTCCTGCCTGTCTATGAAGGTTTCATCTTATTGAAAAGGTTATATAAAGTCTATGATCCGAGGTGAGAAACCCAGTGGCTATTGCAGATCCCAGTCAGTGTGGTTGTGGTGAAGATTAGGTTAAGACTTCTGTCAGTGTTTCACTTTCACAATTAAGGAATACAACATCCTTGTTGAGTAGTTAGCAAAAAGTTGACTATTATTTTCTTTTTCCTTTGTGCCAGGGAGCTCCACTGTTGCCCAAATATTAAAACACATAAGTGAGTCTCACTGTTGCACTCGCTGATGGGTTCTTTCAGCACCATCAACTAGTTTATTTGGACACAGTCACACTTGCAATGTCCTGCTGCCACAAATCCTCACTCGAACAACAAATGTGGATTTATCTGCAGCTGAAATAGTTCTGCTTGAAAGCACTGTTTGTTCCTGTTTGTGTTACCTTTGTTAGAAATTACTGTGAACAGCTGTTTTATTTTTGTTTTTTTGTATGTGTGTTTCTGTTTTTTTATTTAGTGAGTCTTTTTTTAAAAAGTGAAACTAGAAACTGATAGTATCGCTCCTCAACCACTGTTGGTAAGTACCTGCCACAGCTGAGCAGGCGTGAGCTTTGCTGTTTAGAAGATGATCTGACACGCCTCACTGGACAAGATTCAAGCCTTTAATAGCAACCAGTGGACTCACTGAGAGCCACAGACACAGTAGGAGAGTCAGAAGGTATGGGGAGATGGATGAATACATTGATTTGACTCTTGTAGGTTGTGTCTTTTCTTAAGTGTTTTTGTGTTTTTTGTGATTGAAGTGTTAAGCTGGGTTTTGACACAAAGAAAACATAGAATAATAACAGACTTTTGCAATATCTAGCAGGTTCTGAAAGGGTTTTGAGATTCAGGTTATGGAATTATGTCAGTCCACAGAGGAAACATGGAATCTTTGAAATAATCTGGACATGTTCAAACGACTAAACCCGGAGCAACACTGTGCTCTAAAACTACACTAAATGTAAACATGAGGTTTGTTTGTTTGCAACAAAACTCCATGGGGCAGCGTGAACCAAGAACACTGAAATGTTAGCAGATGTCATCAGGAAACTGTTTGCTTTACATTGATATGGATGGAATACATTACTGTTAGAGATATGTGTAATCTTACCCGTCCACAATCACATTAAGTGCTCCAAACCTGTAGAGGTACAGATACCTTTGAACAGCACATCAATTTTTTTTTTTTTTCCAATTCACCAGGTTTTCCTGTTGCCTCTTCAAGCATTTCAAGTTTTCTTCCCTCACAGTTTTTGTCATAACATCAACATGCCCTTGAATTTATGACTATTAATCATATCAATTTCCTAAACTGAATCGACCAATGATTAGAATGAGAACGGATCACTGTGCCAACTTTAATATGCCAAAACAAGAAGAACACAGGTGTCTATTCAGTCACGTCAAAAAATCCTTATTCTTGTTATCCTAGTTAGTTTATCTTTTCGAGTAAAATGACTGTACCCAATGTGTGTGTGTGTGTGTGTGTGTGTGTGTGTGGGTGTGTGTGTGTACTGACCAGATCAGATGGGCACTTTGGAATCAGTGTGTGCTATTCCTCTAAATGTTGACTTTAGACTGCACAATTTGTGAACCATTACACAATACGAAGGCTGGATCAATGAGTGTACTGTTGGCTGTAGAATAGTTTTCTATGTGTGAGGCCATTGAACTGAAGCAATGTAACTCAAACAAGGTTATGAGAGCAATGACCTTTAATCCTGAAAAATATCACACATAGTTAAATATTATCTGTAATTTACCAAATAGATGTTCATTGAATTCCCAAAGGGGTGTCGTATTCTCGGTCTCAAACCGTGTCTTGTATGAAACATATCACATCAATCAGTTCCTCTGCTATCTGTCGGCCGTCCCTGCTGTTCTGAGGGTTCACTCAATCATTAACCTAATCTACTCACTGAAAAACTCCCACTCATGCTGTTTGCATGAGAGCTTGATGATAAGCTATTTGAAGTTGAATGTGGTGATGGGACAACAATTGACATGGACTAAACTGTTTGCTAATCTGGGTCTGCCTTTGATTCCTCAGGAACTCCAGAGATCGTTAAACAGCAGAATAAAGTGCAATGATTGAGTTCACGTCTTTAAATTGAATATTTATGTATCTAGTGATTTTGGGGGGGGGGGGAGAAAAACAACTAATAATGTTACGTATGTATACGTGTTTTTGACCGACATGGCAACTTGAAAGTTTGGGGTTCAGCTGAAGAGTAGCCTGCTCTGTCTTATAGAGCTGAGCTGGGTGGTGGTCAGGAAACTCGCCAGGCTGAGAGCACTGTCCCCAAGAGCAAAAGATGAAACTATTTAACATAATGATTTACAAGCATTTCTTTTTCTGAGAATATATTATCTATAAATCACACAGTCCTATTTTTGAAGTTAGTTGTTCGTTTTTTTTGACACATGCAGTGCAGTGGACAGAGCATGTGCTGGAGCCTGCAGGTTACACAGCTGCAGCTTTTATGGTAGATAGCAGCACTTCTCTACCTCAAGAAGACAATTTGAAATTAATGAAAGCTGATTATATGTTTCAAGCCAGTCCATTTTCTCTGCATCTATGGCACCAATGACTTTACAGTGTAAAAAAAATAAAAAAAATAAATAAAATAAAAAAATCTAACTGACAAGCTCATATATGTTGATGTAATTTTAATTGTGAAAAAAATCAACTCTGCCGTGCATTAAAATTCTGATTGCACATTAGTGATAATACAGTAATAATAATAAAACCCTGAAATGAAAATATTTGCATTGAGAGTAACTTTGCTTTTGCTAATTTAACAGTTCTGGATATTGCCAATAGTTTCATTTAAGTAAAATTTGAAATGCTGCACAGTATTTATTCGTCCCTACCTGCATTTGTTATTTATTTCACACTGCAGTAAAGTTAAACCAGGTAGCGGGTAGGAGCAACACAGTCACTTATCTAAAACACTACATGTATCCTGATGCTGCTTTAAACCAGATGAGATTATGAGTTAATGGCTACCCATTAAACCAGCTAAATAAAAGCACACATCCAATATTTGAGAAACATTTTGCTGAATTGAAGACCAATTCATCTGTGATTCTATACCAAATCATAGATCTCACATCCCATAGTTTACAAAACTGTCAAACTACATATATCTGGCTGGATACAATTATACCTTTTTTGAATTGAATAAATGTGTTGCCAGAAAGAAATTATTTCTTAGTTAGGTTGACACTATACTGTTATTACCAGCAACCCCTCATATTACAATGTAATTACATGGTACAGCTCACTACTTGAACACATCACGTTTAACGAATCCAACGTTTTGTTTTGTTTTTTTGCTTATAAATTCAAGTGTTATTTAAATATAAATTGATTGATTTAAATGTAATAGTCATTGCATGTTCTTTACTTTTATTGGTTATTTAGGTTGACATTGACTGATTGGGCTTTTAAATGACAACTACAATTTATTATTATTATTATTATTATTATTATTATTATTATTATTATTATAT